ATATATATGTACTAGTGGAGGTGTGTATCCAGTGTCTAACAGTATTAGCTTTATGTGCATGCTTAGTTGCAACAAATAAATAAATAAAACAAACAAAACAAAATAAATAAATAAATAAATAAAATAAAACAAAATAAATAAATAAATAAACAAACAAACATATATATATTCTGTGTGTGTGTGTGTGTGCATGCATGCATGCAGAGGTATTGGTGGAGATATGTATTCAGTGTCTAACAGTATTAGCTTTATGTGCATGCGCTGCTGCTGCTGGTGTAGTTGTGGGGTGTATGTTGTCTTGGTCTTCTATCACCCCGAGTATGGTTGTTTTATCTGTCTCCTCTTACGATGAACTGTCTCCTTTGGAGTTGCTTTTTCCCGATCCCGCTGATGCATATACCAGCAGCAGCAGCAGCAGCAGCAGCAGCAGCAGCAGCAGCAGCAGCAGCAGCGAGGTTTTGGCCGTTTTTAGGGGACAGTTCGTTGTTCATGTGCCGATACATAATAAGGGTCAGCACTGCTGTCTCCTTTTTTATATATATTTTTTCTTTTGTCTCCTTTTTTATATTTTTTTTCTTTTGTCTCTTTTTATTATACTTTTCTCTCCCTTTGTTGTCTCCTTTTTTATATTTCTGTCTCCTTTGTGTCTCCTTTTTTATACTTTTTTTTTTTCTTTTGTCTCTTTTTATTATACTTTTCTCTATCTTTGTTGTCTCCTTTTATATATTTTTTTCTTTTGTCTCTTTTTATTATAGTTTTGTCTCTTTGTTGTCTCCTTTTATATATTTCTCTGTTTATTTCATTCTCTCTTTTTTTCTCTGTCTCCTTTTGTCTCCTTCTCTCTTTCTCTGTCTCCTTTTGTCTCCTTCTCTCTTTCTCTGTCTCTTTTTATTTATATCTTTCTCTTTATTCATCTGTCTCCTTTCATCTCCCTCTCCGTCTTTATCTCTCTGTCTCCTTTCTCTGTCTCCTTTTTCTTTCTCTGTCCCCTTTTCGTTTCCTTTTCTTTCTCTGTCTCCTCTATCTGTCTCCTTTTTCTTTTTCTGTCTCCTTTCTCTGTCTCCTTTTCTTTATCTGTCTCCTTTTCTTTCTCTGTCTCCTTTTCTGTCTCGTCTCCCTAAACCCTAAACCCTAAACCCTAAACCCTCGTTTTCTGTGTTTTGTTTGTTTCCCTCTTTAGTGTCTCCTCTCCTCCCCTCACCCCCCACCCCCCACCCCCCTCACCCTAAACCCTAAACCCTAAACCCTAAACCCTTTTTATATTTGTATAATGTGTTTTATTATTTCAGGGGCGTTTATAGAGTCACTTGGTTTTGTATTAGAGTTATTGTATATACCGGCTGTGGGGTTACCTGTCTCCTCTTCTTGTTTTAGTTCTGTTGGTGTTTTCTCTGATTTACTATCTATACAACCAACTCAGCAGCAGCCATCTGCTGCTGCTGCTGCTGCTCTGCTGCAGCGGGGACGCAGCAACTACTCTCTTATACAAAGAATATCTGTTGATAGATACCAAGACACAGACTGGGCTGGGATCGGAGACAACCCCACAAACGGAGACGATCCCACCCAGGTGTCTCCTCTTGTTCATGTTATATTACCTCGTTTCGACTCACGCATGCATGCATTGCTGCAGTACGACTCAGCAGCAGCAGCAGCAGCAGCAGCAGCAGCAGCACCAGCAGCAGGAGCAGCAGCAGCAGGAGCAGCAGCAGCAGCAGCAGCAGCAGCAGGAGGAGGTGTCTCCGTTCCTGGTGTGGGGCCTACTTTGCTTGTCTCCAATGCTGTCCCCTTTATTGCGGGTCTCCGTGTAGGTGTAGATACAGCATCTTTATATATAGGAGTTAATATACATTTAGAGAAAGGAGACAGTTTATTGATAGAGACAATACAAAGAGACTGTATAGAGAGACAAAAAATATTTTTTATTCTTAGGGCCCCTATTGTCTCCGCCCGCAGCATGCTGCTCCAGGTGTCTCACCAGCCCTTCTCTTACTCTGTTTTCTCTGTCTCCTGCTCCATAACAAAAGGAGACAGGGGACAGTGGCCCCCCCCCACCCCACAAACATATATACAACAGGCACAGGCTTATGCGGTAGAGGTAGCTACACTAGGCATGGAGGGAGGAGATACATAAACACACTCCTGCTCCTCCTGCTGCTGCTGCTGCTGCTGCTGCTGCTGCTGCTGCTGATGGTGGTGGTAGTGGTGGTGGTGGTGGTGCTGCTGATGGTGGTGGTGCAAGAAGCAGATCGCAGCTGCAGAAGCAGCAGCAGCAGTTGCTGCAGCAGCAGCAGTTGCTGCAGCAGTTGCTGCAGCTGCAGCAGCAGCAGAGTGGCGGTGTATGTACAGCTGCTGCTGCAGCGCAGCAGAAACTGATGGGGACAGCAAAGGAGACAGTTTTATTGTTCTTTGTTCTGTCTCCTTATTTAATTAAAAATATAATTCTCGTGTTGGGTCTCCTTTTTTATTTTTTTATTTTATTTTATTTTATTTTATTTTTATTTTGTTTTATTTTATTTTATTTTTATTTTGTTTTATTTTATTTTATTTTATTTTTGTTTTCTTTGTCTTTGTTCTGTTTTTTCTGTTCTTCTGCTGTCTCCTCCGTCGCTTGATGGGTGTCTATCTATCTGTCTCCGTTTGTGTCTCTCTCTGTCTCTCTTTCTCTGTCTCTCTCTTCTGTCTCTCTCTCCTCTGTCTCTCTTTCTCTCTTTCTCTCTTTCTCTCTGTCTCTCTCTGTCTCTCTTCTGTCTCTCTCTTCTGTCTCTGTCTGTCTCTGTCTCTCTCTGTCTCTCTCTCTGTCTCTCTCTCTGTCTCCCTCTGTCTCTGTCTGCCTGTCTCCTTTTGTTTGTTTGTCTCCTCTTTTTTATTGTACCTCATCATTGCTAGCAGCAGCAGCAGTTCACAGCAGCAGCAGCAGCAGCAGCAGCAGCAACTAACAGCAGCAACTAACAGCAGCAGCAGCAGCAGTTCACATCAGCAGCAGCAGCAGCAGCAGCAGGAGATAAAAATAAAATAAAAAAAGAGTTTATAGATTGAGTGCATGCATAAGTTGCTGCCTGGTATCATCAAGAGCTTGTGCAGCAGCAGTTTGTA